AATTCCCGCCAAAAGAGTGTTTCTACCAACTTCGCGGTGACACAAAACTATGTCACTGGAAAGCAGGGGGACTATCTGTATAGGAAAATATATGCTACGTCAGGTGGCCGCTTAAAAGAATGACGCGTGGAACTAATGAAGAATATTCCCGTTTGGCACCGTGGGGAATGTGACTCATAAAGAGGCAATAAATACCTTCCGCTCGGTGACATTAATGAAGAATATTCCATGGCATTAAGTGCACTGCGCGTTACAAGGAATTTGTCATTTATGCTTAGCCGTTACATCTTCATCAATAGCCATCATAATTGACTTAAAAACGAGCACGATCCTAGGACCTTGTTCCCTAGACGTAGCTATAAATAGTGAGCTCTTTTATCATTGTAAGAACGAATTTTCTGGCAAACTAATACTACAATCTACTCAAAGCTCTATACAATTTTATCTTCTTATTTTCTGTTCTTATTATTGTTGCGCCCAGAAGCTTCGCTGCCGGAATCCTTATTTCTGTCATTTCGTCTTCATATCAAGGCTAAGTATTATATATTTCTTCAACTATCTTATTATTTCGGGATCGAATTAATTCACTTGTCTAGAAACCACGTGTAACTTTAACTGTATCGTTTTACGGGTAAATAAATAGTTATTAAATATTTTTATTTACTTATGGATATATATTATGTTTTGCCATTTAAAATGACAAAAACTTAAACAAATAAGTTAAAAGAATTGTATGGAACCTGTGATCATCGTGGGTTTTGATGATAATCTACCTCTATATATTTAATTAAATGTTGTTTTTGCATCCATGTTAAACATATCGAGAATTTATGGACTGATTGATTTTTAAATCAGTTCATTTTTGTTTTTTCTCAAGTGGAGTATTCACATGCAGGTAACTCATTATACGAGAAATTACCGATCAAATGAAATAATTTTTAAATTATTCTTATAAGGGAAGAAGTAGATACAAATAAGTTACCCCAGTAGTAATACTTTGAGATTTTGGCACATCAGTTTTGCCATTTTGCAAAGTTATTTTGGCAAATGAATTTTGTTTTTCTAAGACAAAGGAATTGTATATGACTTAACACATTTATTTTATGTTGAACTAGTCAAACGTTGAATTTTTCTTCCATTCATGTTAATTCGAATTCGGCCAATCATTCCAAGGTAGGTCCAGCACCACCAAACACATTTATTTTTGGCATTATGGATCGAATCAACAAACATACCTGGCAAACATGCTTCTCAGAGTTTGGACTTATACATCTATGTGAAAGTCCAACATCAGTTGTTGTTCCTTTTGAGCAGGCTTGTCTATCCACCAGCTAAATTCGCCAAAATTTTACGGTATAGCCAGTTTTTGGACTGGTCAATTAAAAATAGCCAGCGTTTATCCAGTCAATGAAAAATAGCCACCGTTTTGCTGCAATAGAGACCGGTCCAGTGTATACTGGTGCTCCAAACTCCAGTATATTATACTGGACCATTATACTTGCTGGAACTCCAGTATATTATGCTGGAGTTCTAGTGTATTTATGCTGGAACTCCATCATATTATGTTGGAGTTCCAGCATACTATCCTGGAACTCCAGTATAATATCCTGACTAACAAGCATACATCAAGGAGATCAATAAGAAAGTCCAAAAAAAACCCCTGCCTCGGGAGGACCGAGGAGGTCAGCCTCTATGTTATTTTTGTA